CTATATATAACACGACTAGAATTTGGGAAAGTAATTATATTTTTCAAAGATCCCACTACTGGGGTGCCTGGAAGGCTCAGGTGGTTAAGCGTCTGATTTTGGCTCAGGTCATGATCTTGTGGTTGGTGAGTTCGAGCCCTGTGTCAGGCTCTATGCTGATAGCTCAGAGGCTGGAGCCTGCTTCCATTTCTGTGTCTCCCACCATCTCTGCACCTCCCCCGCTCATATTCTCTCAAAAATAAACAAACATTTAAAAAAAAAAAAGATCCAGCACTACTAAATGCTAACAGGTCCTTCACCTTTGAAATCGTTTGGTCTTCAAGAGCAATGGAATGAGAGAGCATCCCAAGCAGACTCTGCACTGACGGCGCAAAGCGTGAAGTGGGGCTCGGATTCATAAACCATTATTAGATCATAACTGGAGCCGAGACCAAGAGTTAGATGTTTAAACCAACTGAGCCACCCAGGTGCCCCTTTCAGCCTTCTTATGATTCTAGAACAGGACAGTACCCCATACAAAAGTAAACACAAAACTAATCAAATGTTCACCTTTTTGACTTAAAAATCATGCTTTTTCAAACCGAAACGTTCTATACTAAAAAAACCATGAAGTTCCCATTAATATCAACAGAGCAGAAGCCAGCAATTGTTATCTGTAAAGGTGTGAGAGTAAATATTTGAGGCTCTGGAGCCAACAGGTTTCCTTAGCGGCTACTCAGGTCTGCCTTTGTACGGCAAAAGCAGTCACTGACAAACTATAAATGAATGGATATTAATATGTTCCAAAACCACTTTGTTTCCAAAAATAAACAGCCGTAGGGATTTGGCTCAAGGACGGTAGTTGTCTACCTAGAGAGAATGGCAGACACTTGTTAACTGAATCCCATTTTTCTCAATGGACTGAAAATTTATATATGCTGCCTATTTCTTACCATTTTATAATTCACAAACAAAATTACTTGAAGTGAACTGGAGCCCAACAAAATAGGCATCATTTTCTTCACCATAATGGAACTGCTTTTGAGTACTCATTCTGTCCTTTAGTTACCTACCAGTTTGTTCTTGGTTTTTGGTACAACATGTTTCCAACTTTAATTACAAAACAGAGAATTTTATACCAGGAGGGCAGGTTCAATATCATTTCTTTAGAACCTTGCATTTTTTGCTTTTCAAGAGATAGACTTTATTCTTAAATATGGACTCAGAATATACGAATAAGTTTGCTTCCTAAAATACATGAGAATACAACAATTAAGCTCAAATATTTTCCCTACAAAGTTTTTGTGCAAGTGTAAAGAACCAAATACTTTCCAATTTTCCTACAGCTGTAACAACCGAAAATAATCTTGCTACCAAAGTAAACTGAAATCCTACTAATTTAAAAGGGTTTCAGTTGCCCGGGTGGCTCAGTGGGTTAAATATCTGACTTTTTTTCCTCTTCCAATGTTTACTTTTGAGAGTGACACAGTGCGAGTGGGGTAGGGGCAGAGAGAGGGAGACGCAGAATCTGAAGCAGGCTCCAGGCTCTGAACTGTCAGCACAGAGCCCGACCTGGGGCTCAAACTCACAAACCACGAGATCATGACCTGAGTTGAAGTCAGATGCTTAACTGACTGAGCCACCCAAACACCCTGACTCATTTTTTTTTTTTTTTTTTTTTTTTTTCAGAAAGAGACAGCATGAGTGGGATAGGGGCAGAGAGATAGGGAGAGAGCAAATCCCGTGCAGGCTTTGTGCCACCAGCTGTGTAGCCTGATGCAGGGCTTGATCCCGCGAACTGTGAGATCATGACCTAAGCAGAAATCAAGAACTGGACACTTAACCAACTGAGCCACCCAGGCACCTCAAGTGTCTGACTCTTGATCTCAGTTCAGATCTTGATCACAGGGTCATGAGTTGAAGCCCCATATTTTAAAAAAAAAGGAAAAAAAAAAGAAAAAAAAATTATGGGGAACCTGGGTGGCTCAGTGAGCTGAGCATCTAACTCAACTTCAGCTCAGATCATGATCTTTGGGTTTGTGAGATCGAGCCCCACGTGAGGCTCTGCTTGAGATTCTCTCTCTCCCTCTCTCTGCCCCTCCCCCACTAGCACCTGCACTCTCTCTCAAAATATAAATTAAAAAAAAATTTTTTTTAAATAAAATGGTCTAAACCAGCTCTCAACTCATCGAAAATAAGGAGAGCACTCCTGATTGTTTTTATACATAGCCTGAAAGCATCAGAAGAGCTAGAAAAATACTTAAGACAAAAATGTACCATGATCCAAATATCACTATGTTATTCTAGGGAATCCACTCACTAAAAAAACTGCAAGGTCATGAAAATTAAGAGCAAAGATTAAGAACATCTATGATTTTAAAAAGTATATCCAGACGCCTGGGTGCTTCAGTAAATTAGACATCTGGCTTTTGTTCTCAGCTCAGGTCTTGATCTCAGGGTTGTGAGTTCAAGCCTCACTTTAGGCTCTTGCAATGGGCATGAAGCCTACTTAAAAAAAAAAGTATTGGGGCGCCTGGGTGGCGCAGTTGGTTAAGCGTCCGACTTCAGCCAGGTCACGATCTGTGAGTCGGGGAGTTGACCCGGCGTCCGGGCTCTGGGCTGATGGACTAGGCTGGGCCTGCTCTTCATTCCTGTGTCCTCCTCTCTCTCTGCCTCCCGTCCCCATCCATGCTCTTCTCTGTCCCAAAAATAAATAAAGGTTGAAAAAAAAATTAAAAAAAAAGTATACATCCTCCCAATAAATGAAAGAGAGATACCTCAAAATGCTACCCTGTAGATTAATGACCTAAGAGAATCTCATGATTAAATCATGTGTGCTAGAAGCTTTACAAGTAAATTTTCCCAAATGAGCAGTCTACTCTCAGGCTTCTCTTAGTTCTTAACCACATGTAGTTTCCCATATTTTAAAAATAAATAAAATTACAAAGATACACAGGAAAGCACTGAGTTCTATATCAAATAAAAGTGAAGAAAGAGCTGCTAACAGTGAGAGATTCAAAGTAGTCAAACGTATTTGTGTTTGCGGGTTCCAACTAATGAACCTCATTAAAAAAAAAAATCTACTAATCAATCCGTACAATGGTTTGCCCTCAACACTAACGGTGCAAAATTGTTGCTTTATACCTTCATCTATTACAATGCAGTATAGAGGTTAACAAAAAGTCGGATTAAAAAAATGTCAACAAAATGTGATAAACTGAAAAACATTTCTAAGAGATACTGAAATGTGTTAAAGAATGTATTAGTTATGTTTTAGAGCACTGCATGATAAACTACCTAATAACTACATGACACTACACCAACACTATCATGTTAGTAAGTGAATGCTAAATTTTTACTTCTCATATGATTATAGTACTTAAATATTTCCAACTAACTTTAAAAATTTTTTTAAATGTTTATTTATTTTTGAGAGAGAGAGAGAGACAGAGCATGAATGGGGAAGGGGCAGAGAGAGAGAAGGAAACACAGAATCTGAAGCAGGCTCCAGGCTCCGAGCTGTCAGCACTGGGCCTGACGTGGGGCTCAAACTCATGAACCGTGAGATCATGACCTGAGCTGAAGTCAGATGCTTAACTGAGCCACCCAGGCGCCCCTCCAACTAGCTTTTAAGGAGAAAAAGCAACCATATATATTACCAAGAGTGTAAGAGTATAAAATATAAGTAAGTGTTAATTTCCTCATGCATTTACTACTAACAGTCTATAGAGCTTAACAGCCTCAACTGTACACAGGCAATGTGAATAGGAAAAAAAAAGGGTGGGGGGCTTCCTGTCCCACTTTTAATAAATTGCAGAGGCATAATATTTTCTCAAGTTCATTTTATTAACAAAAAGTGCGACCTGTTTTGAACAAAAGCCAACCATGAATCACAGAATTTGGCAAGACAGTAGACATGGAAAAGCAAACAATCTTCATTAAGTAAAATATAAGTAGAGGAGGTGCCTCTCACATGTATTATATTCATGCTTCTTCAATAGTCTCTTACCAACTTTCAGTGTATTTTTTCACAAATGCTATAGCAGCTCAAACACAAATCCAGGAGCACAATGGAAAGTTTGGCAATTATTTTGGGCTAATTAAGTATGAAAGTAAACATTATACCACAGTTTCATGTAAACCACTGTGCAATGTGTAGGAATCTTTAAACATATTGACATTGGAAACAATGTCCAACTAATGAAAATAAAAGAGACAAGAGGGCTGTAAAATACTTGTTGCACTACAGCTGTTTAATAAAAGGCAGGAAAAACTGAAATAATTGTAAATGATCTTCCGTGTGTTCATATGGAACATGACCAATTCACATGAACTTAACTCATTTAAAATTCTGTATGTAAAAGTCATATAATAGAAAGATTATGCCATTAATCAGTGTGTCTACACCTGAACAAACAAGAAAAGATAAATAAATTAACTTGTAGTCAGCCAACATACTCCAAAGAGGAGATTCAGTCTACTTTTGCTTTATTTATTCACATAAAGTATCTACAGGGCAGAATCTATACATAAGTAATTTTTCTCTTCCCTAATTTACAGGCATTAATGAAGCTATAAACTACGATTAAAACCCAAACTATAAAGGTGGTCATTTAAACACAACTGAGAATCTAGCCAAGGATAGAGGAGTACCGAGACTGAGCAAGTTACTGAGCGCATGCACGGTCTCTACGTACACTGTCCGGCAGTTAACCACCTTTCTATTGCAGGAAACAAACTGCCTTTTAGGAATATACTGATTTACTAAATTAATTGAGGACTACACTGTTAATTCATTACATTACACAAAATTCTTCCCACACTGCTAATTTTGTCCTGTGTACTAATGTCATATACTACAATTGTGCTACTTTCTAAAGTTTCAGAAATACTATTTCAGGTAGAGATGATGAAAAAAAATAAGACCAAATCTGATTATCTGACCGATGACAAATTGAGCACCAACTACAGCAAATCTCAGGGTCAAGGTAGCTTGCAAGTCAGTTCTCTGGATTTGAAAATTACCTTCCGCTGTTTCCATCAGTATTAAAGCTGAGGTCTTCAGGGCCTATTTGTTCACCATCAGGAAAACTGGAATGCGTATCTAAGATAAAAAATTAAAAGCAGATAACAGTTTTTAAAGACCAGTATTTTCTTTTCCATGTCTTTAAGTGATCTTCCTAAGCATGTTAGTTAAGTGATAAAGATTAGTGGGTTGTAGACAAACCTCTGTCTTCATAGAAAATTTGTTATCTGAATCAGGTATAAGCAAGCACAAAGGGAAAAAAAAAACAAGAAAAAGTAAAATGTGTAATACCCATAATTAGAAGATGAAAGTCACTGCCTAACTTTGTTCTCCTGGGGACACTGTGGGAGCAGCTTGAAGAAAGGAACAGGAAATGATGATGACGTATATACTTTGAAGACTGACTTTGTAAACATTAAAATGTATCTTAAGGCAAATTAAATTGCACATGCAAATATCACTAAAAAATCCATCAGCACTCAAAATAACGTGACCAAAATCTAGCTGCTTCTTTCAGAAAAAGAAAATTACTAACAGTGTCATAATACCTAAAAACCATCAACTGCTCAGCTCTATTTTGGAAACAAAAAACAAAAAACAAAAAACAAAACTAGAACTTCAGGGAAATCTGTAAAATTGTAATGCCGAAAACTGTCATAAGCCTAACAATGTTGCCATTCCAGGAAATCTTGCAGAGGAATGCTAAGACTGATCATTAAAAGTCTCTGGATAAAATATTAGTAATGGGTGACGGATGTTAACTAAACTTACTGTGTTAATCATTTCCCAATACATACATACTACCAAATCATTATGTGGTACTCCTAAAACAAAACAAAAATACTAACAATGACTTTATCTCAGTGGGTTTTATTCCTAAAACTATTTTGGGAGGAAGAGGAAATTTAAAAAATGATGCTTCCATAAACTAAATGCATTTCTAAGAAGTCAGAAAAAAAATCTTTTAAAAAGTTTCCTTATTAAGCTAGGCTCCTAACATCTAATAACATCTGAACCCTCCCCAGGGGTTGATAAGCATTTTCTTATTATAAAAGAACAGATAGAAAATATTTAGGTATTGTAGGCTACAGACTGCCTCTATGGAAAAGTCTTCTCAGTTTTGTTTTTGTTTTTAAAAGCTCTGTACAACATAAATGCTATTTATGTTACAGGCTATACACTAGAGCAGGTTGCTGAGCCCGCTCCATTAAGTAGTATCCAGCAGGTATCTGACCAAACAGTACCTAGCACATTTTTTCAGTACTCACCATTTAGTTTACCCCATAGAATATTGTTTCACAAAAGACAATAATTAAAAAAGAAAAAGAAGCAGAAACAGCAGAGAAGCAGCAGCAGAAGCAAAAGAAGCAGCAGCAATAGCAGCAGAAGAGACGGTTTTATTAATCTCTGTGAAATGAGACCATGTGCCGCACCTTCATCTGGGGGCTGTGCCATGAAAGAGTCGTTAAATCCTCCCATGCTGGTGTGCTCTTCCTGCTCCTCATTCTCAGTGTCACATTCAATATCACTGTCACTGCTCATTCCTGGCATGAAAGAAGGGGAGAACATGTTTCTGAAATGAAACCACTGCTAGTGAAAGGAAAACAAAGTCTCCTCGCCCACTAAACTGAGATTCCTACTGAATTTTACCCTAGATCCCAAGACAGTGGAAGACACCAAACAAAACAAATAAAAAAGTAACCACACAAACCTCAGTTCTCATTAGTTATTTAGAGCAGTGGTTTTATTTTTGTTCTCAAAGATTAAAATTGCCCTTTCCACAAGTAGTGGAAAGTATCTGCAAGTAGTAATTTGAAACCAGTATTAATTTCATTATATTGAGAATATTTTTTCCAAAGCAAACAGTTTTTTCGAGAGTCATAAGAGATAATAGAAACTTTTAATCCTGATTCAATATGGATGTAATCGTTTCTAGCCTAAAACATATAAATGTTATCTAAATACATGGTTATACTTACACATATGCATGTATATAAGAAATTCCAAAAACTCTTAGCAATAAATGAGTTACTATCCCATTTCGGCCTCCAATTTTGTTTTTACATACATCAACTGACTCTTAAACGAAATATTCTAAGTGCACCCAGGTGGCTTAGTCAGTTAGGCATCTGACTCTTGATTTCAGTCCAGGTCATAATCTCACAATTTGTGAGTTTGAGCACCCTGCTGGGCTCTGAGCTGACAGTGTGGAGCCTGCTTGGGATTCTCTCTCCTCCTCTCTCTACCCCCTCCCCTACTTGTGCTCTCCCTTTCTCTGTCTCAAAATAAATAAATAAATAAACTTAAAACAAGAAAAAAGAAAAAGAAGAATTCTATAGAAAGTGCTTCTCTTTCAACAAGATAGTGACCAAGAAAATCTGGAAATCTTCCTGCTATAAACCCTTATACATGCTAAAGAAAATATAAAAAAAATATATGTTAATGAACAGCCCATTTAAAAGAAAGAGGAGAGAGGTGCCTGAGTGGCTCAGTTGGTTAAGCCTCCAACTTCAGGTCAGGTCATTATCTCACGGCTTGTGGGTTCGGGCCCCACATCGGACTCTGCACTGACAGCTCACAGCCTGGAGCCTGCTTCAGATTCTGTGTCTCCCTCTCTCTGCCCCTCCCCCACTTGCACTGTATCTCCCTTTCAAAAATAAATGAATGTTAAAAAAAAAAAAAAAAGAAGAGAAATACACAGGTACCAAAACAAACAGGAAAACTAACAGGTCAGATGCCACAGAAACCCAAGATTTAGATGTGAACATCTTTAATATTCCCTTGGACCCACCACAGAAAGGGAGTTGAATGACTAAAACTTATTTCCCTGCATAAAGCTAAAATTCTTATTGAAAGAATGGACTAGAAAAAGTCTGCCTACTGGTATAGGAATACAGTCTCCTGTCTGTTTCTGCTGGGCTCAGCTGATCTCAGAATTCAAACTAAGGCCTATGTGCCTAATTTAGGTTTGGGATTTAAAGTTGAGGTTTAAGTCTCAGGAAATTAATATAAAAATTGGTCAGGAGCTAGTGCTATTTGAATAAAGCAAATGGAAAATCTTCTGGAGTAAAGGTTCTAGGTAAGATGGAGTAATAAGCACATTCCATTCCATCTTTCCCACTAAATGAAGCTATAAAACCTGGACAGAATCCATGAAGCAGCTCTTTAAGGGTACTGAAAAGTAAATAGGAACAGGTATATTGGTGTAGACCAGAATTTGAAGTACCACCAAACTGTCAGATTTAACATTAAAAAAATTTTTTTTAATGTTTATTTATGTTTGAGAGAGAGAGGGAACGAGGGAGGGGCAGAGAGAGGGAGACACAGAATCTGAAGCAGGCTGTAGGCTCCGAACTGTCAGCACAGAGCTCGATACAGGGCTCGAACTAACAAACCGTGAGATCATGACCTGAGCTAAGTCGGACGCTTAACTGACTGAGCTACCCAGGTGCCCCAAACTGTCAGATTTAAATAAGATCCAGAATCTCATAACATATTAAAAATATCCACGATACAGGGTGCCTGGGTGACTCAGTCAGTTGAGTGTCTGACTCTTGATTTTGGCTCAGGTCATGATCCCAGAGTCATGGGATGGAGCCCTGTGTTGCGAGCCCAGTGTGGAGCCTGCTTAAGACTCTCTTTCCCTCTCCCTCTGCCCCTCTCTCCCACTTGCTCATGTTTCCTCTCTCTCTCTCTCTCTCTTTCAAATTAAAAAAGAAAAAAAAGAATCCAGGATACAATCCAAAATGAGTTCAGCATATGAAGACCTAGGAAAAGACAATCAACAAACATCAATGCTGAAATGAATGAGATGCTGGAAGTATCTAACTAACAAAGACTTTAGAGCAGATATAGAAGTGCTTCTGAATACTCTTAAAACATAAAAAAAAAAAAAAAAAAAAAAAAGCTTCTCTGGAGGGAAGCTTCCACAATCCAGGTCATAAATTATCACAGGGGGGGGATGGATTTTTTTCAGGGGAGGGGTAGATGAGGCAGAAAAAGATTCTTAGAAAGGTGTGTTCTAATTAAAATTTACAAAACAAAAAAGGCAGGCAATCCACCTGAAATGAGTCAAGTGAAATACACAAATAGAAGGACAATACCATGATTTTTTCATAAATTAAGGACCTGTTTAATATGAGAAAGGAAACTTAAAAAATTACTAAACAGACTTTCCAGAAATGAAAGATATAGTCATTAAAATTAAAATATTAATAGATTTAAGCAAAGTTGGAAAAGAGGTTAGCAAACTTAAAGACAGAACTAAGGAAATTAAACAGAATATTAAAGAAATAGAAAAATGAATATCATTAAAAAGCAGTTAAAATATAAGGGGATAAATGGTAATAGTTCCACTGGTGTCAAACAGACTGCCACAGATAGCAAGAATAACAAAGGACAGACAATGCATTAAGAGAAAATGGCAGAAATTTTTCCAAAATTAATGAAACATTCTAAATTGAATGAAAATAAAAATTCAACATATCAAAATTTGGGAGATGTGGCTATAGCAGTGCTTACAGGGAAATTTATACCATTAAATGCTTACATTAGAGAAGTAAAAGGTCTCAAAGATCTAAGCATCTATTTTAAGAAACCAGAAAAAAGAGTAAATAAACTTAAAGCAAATAAAAGAAAGGAAATACAGAACAAAAATAAAATTTGCAGGAAACAACAGAAAAAGAAATCAGTGACACAAGAAGTTAGTTCTTTAAAAACATCAATAAAATTGAAAAGCTTCTAAGGAGACTAAGGAAAAAGAGAACAAAATTACTAATATCAGGAATAAAACAGGGGACATCACAACAGATTCTACAGACATTAAAATAATAACTTTATGCTCATGAAATTAAGAACATAAATGAGATGATAAGAAATTCTTTGATAGACACAAACTACCAAAGGTCACTCAGGTAAAAACAGATCACCTGAATAAGTATTTTACCTACTAAAGAAATACAACTTGTAGTTAAAAGAACTTCCAACAAAGAAAACTATAGCCCCAAATGGCTTTACCAGTGAATTCTTCCTCTTCTGTTTCCAAGAAGAGTTTTGTGTAGTACTATTTCTCCCTTAAATATTTAGAAGACATAGGCTGGGTGTATGGACATTTTTGAAATCTCCTTGTTCAGCAAAGAGAACTAAAACTTTCCTGCTATAAAAAGCAAAGTACAATACTTCTTCCTCAGAGACCAAACCAGCTACTTCCATGAAGCACCACCTCCACCTTGTGGCCCTTCACGGAACTGTTGCTGAAAATACTAAAACCCACTATACAAGTGGGTTGAAATTCCAGGCAAAGGCATAAATTTGATCTAGAACTAGTGTTTCTGAATTCCTGACAGATTCACAAACAAGGAAATCATTCTCTGGATTCTCAGGAATTCCCCAAATCTTTCAAACTCTTTATTCATTATATATCTTTAAAAGTTGGGAATTATTTTGGTCCCCAAACTTCCTATTTCTTAGAATACCACTCACTGGATTCCTATGAAGGGTAGTATAAACTTATTATTTATTTATATAGTACCAGACAGGGCCACGAACACATACTTAAGAAAGTTCCCTAGCTTTGTGAATGTAATGAGAAAGCAAAATTGGTCTCCTGACCTCTAGCTTAATAGTTGGCCATACCCAACACTGGGTCAACAGGTCCTGCATAAATCATTGCAATCAGTGAGAGGGAAGGGGGGCACCTGGGTGGCTCAGTCGGTTAAGCATCCGACTTCGGCTTGGGTCATGATCTCATGGTCGGTGGGTTTAGCCCCACGTCAGGCTCTGTGCTGACAGCTCAGAGCCTGGAGCCTGCTTCAGATTCTGTGTCTCCCTCTCTCTCTGCCCCTTCCCCACTCAAGTTCTGTCTCTCTCTCTCTTTCTCAAAACTAAATAAACATTAAAAAAAAAAAAATTTTTTTTTAAATAAGTGAGAGGGAGGGGCACCTGGGTGGCTCAGCCAATTAAGCGCCTGACTCTTGGTATCTCATGGTATGTGGGTTTGAGCCCTGCATCGGGCTCCTTACTGACAGTGTGGAGCCCGCTTGGGATTCTCTCCCCACCCCCCCCTCTCAAAAATAAGTAAGTAAACTTAAGAAAAAAAAATTTTTAAATAAGTGAGGGGAGTGAACATAAGGTCAAACACTTTCATTGTTTTTAAAAATGAAATTAGCTGCTGTCAGTCAACAGACCACAAGCTATATGCTGTGCCTTGCCCCGTATATTGCAATGTCTACCCACTGCCTACCTAAGTAAATTAGTGATATTTTACCAACTCTAAGAAGTCGGAATACTTGACCTTTCTTAATCTTACCAGGTGTTTATAGGTTTTCAGACAACTGGCTTTCATTGATAGTAATTATAAGATATCATTAAATGTAAGATGCCACAGAGATGTTCAATGCGGAAAACAAAATCTGCATCTTACAGTGAAATTTGAAGTAGGATATTTTTATATCACCTACCACATTTTTTGAGCATCCACTATATGCTTAGTACTGTTAGTACTGTACTTTTAGTTCTAACTCCCTTATTGATGGGTGCTCAAATT